ACCTCTGAAATACTTAGAGTACTAGCCTCAGTAGCCCTATTTCAATTCTGAGCACTAAACCCTAATTTTCAAACCCCATCCTCTCAAAAACCTTATACCTCAGCACCCAAATATGTAGAATAATGGCTCTTGGGCTATGTTTATGGGGTGTTGGGCCATTATTGCACCTACTTTTGGGGTCCAGGTAACTTGTAACGCAATAATCCTTGCCTAAGCCCCCCAAAGTATGAAGAATAATGACCTTGTTTGACCACTTTGAAAGGTTTTGGGCTATGATTTCACCCTAAACCCTAAACTGCGGGGGTTCAGGCGAGCCTTAACCCAAAAACCCAGACCCTACTCCCTACGCGCAACTTTCTGTGGACCCCGAACCTTTGATTTTATCCTTTGCGAAGTGATAGCGCCCGGTTCCTGTGTCAACTTTGGACTCAAAGGCCTGCAGGGTGGGTTTAGGGTTTAGGGTTTAGGGCCCCTAAGTTACAATCCTAAATAAAGGGATTGGGGGTTAGGGTTTAGGGTTTGACCCTAAACCCTAAACTCTGAACCTTAGGTTCTAACTTGGGTTAAACCCTAAACTCTGAACCTTAAGTTATAACTTGGGTTTTAAGTAACTTCCAATGGAGATAACTATAATTTCAGGTCCTGTAAATTCTCACCGTGGCATTTATAAGTCTAGCTATCTAATTAGGGGGCACCACCCTGGGAGATGTGAAAAGGGTCTCCGTACCCAAAGAGGAAGACAATGTTAAGGGTTAAGATTTACGGCTCAGGGGTTTGAGAGTTTAGGGTTTGGAGCATACTGGTTTGATTAGAGAATTTGGCCAATTACAAAAATTAGGCGTTAGGGTACTATGTGGTACTGAACATGTCGCCCCAATATAGGAGATCCTTTTTATGGGAAAATGAACCTGGTTTCGACAAGCGCGAGGGGATTTCTGCCGATCCTCCCCCCCTCTGAAACTATCTACTCCTAAACCTGACAACCCTATAACCCCTCTAGCCCTACACCCTATAAACTCTAAACCCTAAAACCCCCTGCCCAGAGTACTACCTCCAAACCCTAAACCCTTAAAGGTTGGAACCGTTCGGTACAAGGATCCTTCCCCTCCAAAGGGCCCACTGGTTTTTGGCACTACGTAAGGGGTTTAGGGTGTTGGGTTTAGGGTAGTAATTGTAGTGCAAGTTTTGGGTAAGTATATGTTTATTGGGTACTTGGACCCTCAGTCTACTCCAAAGGCCTGATAGGAGCCGTCGGTTTGTAGCTTCTGGTTTCGCTTCATCAGAATTGGCAGGGTGCCCGTATCCGCAGGTCCGAGATATTGTGCCTAAACGTACCTACATAGATATGCGCCAAGGGGTCAAGTATGTCCTATATAGGTACTCAAGCTGGTGCGCTAAAGACGAATAATCCCCAAACCCTACACCCTAAACTAGCATGCTATGAGCGGTCAAGTAGCCAAACACAACTGATTTCGACCACAGATATTCCTTCTGAAGGGTTTTTGATACGTAATACTCTCATAATTGGGTATACTGTGAGGCCTGAGTGACGAGTGATACTGTTGATATTAAAAATCTTCCATGACCTGTATATACAATAATTGAGGCACTTAGGGACATGGAGGATGTTCAGCATCCACCGCATCAATCTGGTCCAACCTCCTTCCCTACGGCTGACCCGGCGACGCTGTGCCCGACGTGTGGAACAGCGTCGCGTAAAGAGATGCCGGCGCAATGTGGGCTCCACTAGGATTTTATAGGGCTATGTAGGCTTATATAAGATTACATATGGGTTATACAGGGCTATATAAGTTATAAAGGGAAATTAATGGAAAAGAAAATGGAACTTGAAAAGACGCGCAATAAGCCTGAAGTGAGAGATTTCTTGCGAGATCGGGCATTTCTAGAAAAGGTAGTTTCCCTTAATAAGGGGACCCCAATATAGACCCCTATATACGATAATCCGTATTGAATGCCGTATTATGGGGACCCCCAATATGGTACCCCTAATTTTGAGAAACCCCCAAATGATCCCTGGAAATTGGGGACCCACAGAATCCCTTTGTAATCTCCATAAATCCCTAGCGTCCAAAAGGCAATCCGTTTGGAGAAGCCGGTGTTTCTATAATTTTGACATTGTCATCATCAACTGGATACTACCCACCGAAAGCTGCGTCGTGAAGGTCGGCGCCAACTCAATACCCAGCGCCCCTCAAACTTTGAAGCCTAAATCCTACATCCTAAGCCAAACCCTAACCCTAAACCCGCTGCAAGCAAGGCTTCCTAAAACTCATGGTTCGCTCGTGTAGCATTGAGTGCTTTGCAGGGGTTGGGGCATCCCCTCCTATGTCACCTGCTTAGCTCAAGCCTCCTTGCATGTAGGGTTTAGGTTGTGTACTGCCCCCACCCTGTAACAATCTATATTAGCGCTCTTCTGAAGGGCTCCAGAAACATGTTTTCTTAATCTTATCCAACTGTTACGGAGTGGGGGCAGCACCCAAGGTTTAGGGTCCAGGGTTGCCCACAGTGCAAGCGGCATGAAAACTGGTGCAGGCACAGCACTCTGAACGCCTGGAAAAATGGGACACATAAGCTGGGGCCCCGAGAAGCCCATGTTCAGCAGAACCTTGCTTTTCAAGCATACTGTATTCAAACCCGAAACAGACATTATCTTACTCTACCTGAATTGGGGACACCAGTATCCAATTCTAAACGCTAGTCATCTGGCATGTTCTCGAGATGGGAAATAGCCCAATGTAGGTAACATCTTACAGACTTTGGGGCCCAATGTAGGTATTCTTTGTATACTTGGATCCCCAGGGATATGACTCACCCCACCACATTCTCAGTTAAAGGCCTTATGTTTGGGGCACGTGCTCGGTCTGGCTGGGTGGAAGGATGTTTCAGAGTGGGGGGAAACGAATACAAGGGCTTCCATTAAGGATTCTGCAGAAAATCCTAAACCCTCAACCCCAGGATCTCATCACGGGCTCACATCGCTCACTGCTGGCCCAGACAGCTCTTCTGGGACGGTCTCCTGGCTATGAGCTTTCCTCTTCTTTCCTCTTTCATACTTTCGAAGCGTCCACCAGCTGGGTTCCATTCCCTCCGGCCATTCCATCCTTAGAAGAAATCAAAGGTTGAAACCATGGGCCTTTAGTATGGACCTTAACCCTGGGATCCTTATATACTATACTCTATATGTACCATCAAGGGTCCCTGAAATCTCCCTGAGTGGCCTCTGGGCCCAAATAAGGGTCCCATACTTCTAGCCCTAGAAGAGAGACGCCAGGAAGATGCAAGGACTTGCAAGGACTGTCTTGGTAGTATCCTGGGCGGACACGGGTTGGGGTAAAGCCTCCACTCCTGGACCTGCACGGGCCAACTCACAAGCTGCGCTCACCGCTCACCCCTCTGGGACGCCCCATTCCGGCCATACCGGACCCCCCCTTAAGGGTCCATGTACCCAATAATTAGTGACTTGGGTTTCGGGTAATGTTTTAATACAGGTTTTGGGCAAGTATATAATTATTAGGTACTTGGACCATTAGGGTAGCTACCTAACCCAGACAAAGCCTTCCAGAGCTTTCCATGGTTTGTTAGAGGCTTTATAGCGGGGAGCGTGCAGAGATTTATCCAAGGGATTGTGGGTTTAGGGTTTGTGGTCTAGGTTGGGCTACATTTGGGGAGATAGGTTTAGGAACTTGCAAAACTCCAGGTGTTCACCTACCTAGCCATGTAAGTTTTAATCGCGAAAAATAAAACAACTTTTGCGTGCAGACCCGGCTCTTCATGGTGCGTCTCTTCGAGAAATAATAGTCCCTGTAGGCTTCCACGGAAGTCTTTGCGCTCCTTGGTGCTACATATAATTTCGTTCCGGAACCTCTTAATGAAGGAATATAGACCTTGCGCCGCAGCCAGGAACCTAAGCTTGATTTAGGCTATATAAGGAAATCGCATTACCCCGCAAAAAGCGGACAAGAAACCACAGCATACTTGAAGGTATACAAGAAATGTAACTTGGAGCCTTTGAGTTTTCTATAAACCCTAAACCCTAAACCCCAAAGCCTAAACCCTAAACCGCGTGGGCTTCGGTGCAGAGCCCGGGCGCATTCTGAACAAGCGTGCTAGTGTGTCCATTCCACTGTCATTTAGGGTTTAGGGTTTAGGGCCCTAAACCCTGAGCCAGCACCACGTCCCCTGGACCCTGAGTCCCTGAGTTTAGGGATTGAGGTATAGGGTTTAGGGTTAAGGGGAAAAGTAACTGAGTCCGTGTTTTTCGAGGTGCTCCTGAGACATGTCACTCTCATCCCTATGGGTTCGAAAGTAACCCCAAAGCAGGCACAACGTGTTGCTTAACACAAACCAAAAATTGTTGAACTTGTCCGGCGTGCCCTAAATAACCCCAAACCCGAAACCCTAAGCCCTAAATCCTGAACCCTAAATCCTACACCCTAAATCCTAAGCCCTGAATCCAAAGCCCTAAATCCAAGCCAAGATTCTTGAACTTGTCCGGCATCGCAAGATGCAGATGTCTGACCGCCGTGCGCTTCTTCTTGCGGAAGCGCGGCTCGTGGTCTCGTAGCCACTCCAACACTGCCTCACAGAGGCGAGGGTTTAGGGTTTAGGGTTTAGTGTTGGTTGCTCATAAGGTTTGGGGGGTTGCCCTACTGCACCCTCTATACTGCCCCTCAGGGCACGTACTCATAACCCAAACTTTAAACCAACTAGAAGCCCCCAAGAAGTCCCCTGATCTGGTTCTACGCAGGTTATAAATATATAGTCCCCCTTAAGTAGATAGAATATGGTGTATATGGGGATCTTATTGTAATTTACCCAATGCCCATATTCCATCTACTTAAGGGGGACTATATAGTTTTACCTGGGTTTATTATAGTTATTCTGAACCTTCCAGTACAATCTAAGCTCCAGACCAAATCCGACATTTTTTGGCACCTACCTGACAAGTCTTAGACAAAATCCCTATAGAACCTCGAATCTCAAGAATATGGGAAGCCTGCATACACTCCCCATAGCTGATCCCTACGTATGCCTAGCTTCTCCAAGGCCTCCCTCTTACAAGAAATCCACTTCCACCCGCACACTGCCGCGGCCTGCGTTCGGTGCTGCGTTCGCTTCCCTTTGGCTCGACCACGGCCCCGATTGTATTCCCGACATAATGCAAGACCTGGGCACACGAGATTCCAAAGACTAAGCCGCGTAAACCCCAAAACAGTAGACCTTAAACCCTCGACAGGTGCACACTCTAAATTCAGAACCCTAACCCCAGGTTGCAGGAGCAGCAAGATCATGTGGGCCGTGATTATCCTTTTAATGAGACCGCCAAAGTAAGGTTTCAGGTAAGTATACTGTGCAGGACCAGCGGTCCTGGCATCGTCATAGTTGCAATTGCATCCTACCCAGCATCACCGAGCATCCTGGATACCATTCACCCCCATGCAACTTGCGAAGAAAATCCTCAATGAACTCCTACAGGTCCTGTAGGAACCTTTTGCAAAACCACTTGTGACCCGGAAACACCCTCGAAAACCATTCCGGGATATACCCAGCATATGGCGCTGACAAAATGCCTGGTATACGGGCGCCCCCTATACAAGGACCCCTAAGGCAAGAACCATAAGTTTGCCATGGCATCAGACTTAAATGCCGGGCTTAACAACCACTACATCACCCAAAGAAAAGACAGAACCTCAGTGACCCATAAAGACTCTGGTCCTCTTAGAAGCGAGCCTGTATGGGGCTATGGAGTTTAAAGTTAGTTTGGGAAAAGGTATGGACTCTAAACCCCATAAACCCTGAGAGCTTAGACCCCGTAAACTCTAAAGCCTTAAAGTCAGCGTAAAGACAAACACCTGCAAGCCTAGATCCTATAAACACCAAAACCACAGAAATGAGCTCTATAAACACTATAAACCCTGAAGCCTAATTGCCTCAACCATGTAAACCCCAAATCCTGAACGCCTAAAGCTAAGCTGTAAAGCCTTGACTTCAGACCGGAGGCCAAGACGTACAGCCCAGCGATAATTGCCCAGAGATTCGGCAACCTCGTCTTCATTCCCTAACCCTATGGGTTCAGGGTTTAGGGTTCAGGGCTTAGGCTTCAGGGTTTAGGGTTTAGGGTTCAGGGTATAGGGTTTAGGGTATGTCCTCAACCTAAAACCTAAACCTCAAACGAGGGTTTAGCAGGTTCGGGTTTGGGAATGGGGCATTGGTCCAGAGCACCCAATAATCTAAACTGATGTACAAAATCAATTACTCAACTCAGGCACTTGTTGACCAATCGATTTTTCAATTTCATGCGCAAGTGGTTTATGCCATAGACTCGTCTGGTTTGCTATTGGGAGCTTTGCGGTCCCCGATGTCCAATTCGGGTCTATTGTCCTGGATGAAGCCAAACAAGGTTCAGGGTTTAGGGTTTGTTGTCCTAGATGAAGCCAAAAAAGTAAAAAATTGGCGTACGGTCCCTTACACAACAAAGTAAGACACCTCCCAAATTTGAAAAATCCTTAAACCTTAGCCAGCGCATCCTTCATCCTTAAATCTTAGCCAGTGCATCCTTCCAAGCCACTGAACCCTAAACCCTACACTTCAAGCCCTTAACGGTTAAGGGCTTGAAGTGAAACCCTAAACCACTGAACCCAAAACCCAAAGCCCTAAATCCTAAACCACTGAACCCTAAACCCTAGATCCGAAACCCTAAAGCCTCTGAACCCTAAACCCATATTGTCTTCCTAAAGTAGATAGAATATGGGGTATATGGGGGATCTTATTGTAAAATACCCAAAGCCATATTCTATCTACCTAAGGGGGACTATAAACCCTAAATTGCAAAGCAACCGAGCAGCCCAAATCAAACCCTTAAACCCTGAATTTCTAGACCCTAAAACCCTAAACCCTCAACCGCCTAAACAGTAAACTGCGCAACCCTAAACCCTAAACAGTAAACCCTAAATTGCAATGCAACGGAGCAGCCCAAATCATAGAGCCCAGCTTCCTGTGCCCTGCAGCTGACTCCTCTGGAAGAACCACTGGTTTGGGGCTTGGGGTTTTGGGTTTAAGGTTTAGGGTTTAAGGTTTAGGGTTTAGGCTTTAGGGCTAAAGGTTTTGGGTTTAGGCTTTAAGGTTTAGGGTTTAGGGCTTTGGGAAGCCCATTTCAAGGTTGAAGTGTGAATACGAGCCCATATGTAGTTTTGGGGTCTGCCCGTTCCTGTGGTTTAGGGTTGAGGGTCTGGGACTTTGAGTCTCTACAATTTTGCTGGAGCGCTTGGGCACCTCCTAAAGGAAAGAACCCTCATAACAAAGTAGCATTAAGGCGTCGTCATCAAAGGAAACCAAGGGGTACTTGTTATTGACCCTTATAATCTGGGGGTTCCCTTATGGCTCTGTGGCTCTATGATTTAGGGTTCCAAGTTTAGGCTTCAGGGTTTCAGTCTGCAGTATCGCCCCCCATGACAATCATGTGCTAATTATAGCCTTGGGTGGCACAAGAAGACATCGACCCCCTGAAGTCATGCCCCACTTAACGCCTAGCAACTTATGTAGCCCTGAACCCCTAAGCCCTACACCCCTAATCCTAAACCCCTAAACCCTTAACCCTAAACCCTTAACCCTAAACCCTAAACCCTAAATAAGATCCCCATATACCCCATATTCCATCTACTTAACGGGTGCTATCACTGTGGAACCCAGCCAAGGCTAGCCATGTACATATGTGAGTAATCACATCTGAAAGATGCTGCTAAGGTCTAGGTTTAGGGTTTAGGATTTAAGGTTTAGGATCTAGGGCTTAGGGTTTAGGATCTAGGGTTTAGGTTTTAGGGTTTAGGGTTTGGGTTTCTCCCTAAACTCTAAACCGTGTTCATCAACCGCTTGGGGGTGTTCGGCTCCCAGGAAATTGTCCACTCAAGGCTCTGTGAGTAGAGGGCTTGTACTGCCCCCATCCAGTAACGGGTGGCAACTTTAGTATGATCCCTACTGTAGATTATTATTGGGTGTGGCAGTACCCCGGGTTTTCGGGTCTTAGGCTCTGACACCTGCAGTCCTTGTAGGGAATGCGGTCGCGCTTCGTGTACGGAGGATCGCAAGGTGCGTCCTTCTCGCGGGACCGATGGTGCACGTTGCAGAGGAGCTGGGCCGTCTCCACAATCATCTTGACTATGTGGATGTTGGCATGGAACTTTGCGGCTTGTGCCGGTGACATGGAGAGAAAGAAGATGTTCATGGCTGCTAGCGCCTACACGAACACGGCCTAGCTACCGTGGAAAGCCTGCGTGCTTTGAAGAAACCAGGAAAGCTTTACTTAGCTCTACTGTGCTTGCTAGAGTCATCTACGACGTGCAGTATGCCAAAGCTCGACGGTGCCAACAACATGCCATGTGACAAATCAGAGAGGCTTGGCTTGGGGCTCTAAGTTCAAGCTTGAAAGTCCATTAATAATACCTACCTGAACCCACACTACGTAGAATAGTAGCCTTGTTGTCCACTTGCTGGGGCTTCGGGCCCTAAACCCTAAACCCCTTTTGGGCTATTTGGAGCCCTTTGTTTTGTGGGGAGTATCCGGGGCCTGAAAACAAAGCTACAAGGTGGGGCCCCTAGCTTGTGACTTGAGTTGGAAGTTAAAAGTAACTTACAACAGGGATAACTATAGTTATATGTCCTAAGATATATATTTATTTATTTATTTCTGGAAGCTAAAGGTAATTCATAACAGGGATGATCATAAGTATAAGTCATTTAATTTATAGAACGTGTATATGTATATATATATATATATATCGGATATTTAAACATAGTTGTGTGACCAGGGGGGCACCAGCCTGTATAGGCAGATCTATGAATGGCAGCGGCATCATCACAGCAAGCCTTCAGCGCTCAGGTTGCTCTCTGCTACCACGCGGTTTAGGGCTGAGGGTTTAGGGTTTGGGATTTAAGGTTGAGGGTTTAGGGTTGAGGGTTTAGGGCATTACTGGGTGGATTGACCCTGGACCCTAGGGCTTAGGGCAGAAGACCTATGCCTTGAAATCCTACCCCGTTTTAGGATACCTGACTTGATGTCTAGTATCTGTAAGGTTTAGGGTGAGCAGGGGATGGAAAATCAAATGCGACAGCAGATGGACAATGAAACAAAAACCTTGGGTTCACCTACAGGGATTACGTAGAAATCTATGGGGGGTTAGGGAGTATGGATGGCGTCAAAGAAGATGGAGAATCGGATGGAAATTGGGTGTTTAGATTGGTGTGTAGGGTTCAGTATCTGCTTGCTGCTTGTCACTAGGCAATAGAGGAGGGAAGCTATTACTCAGGACCTAAGTTGTATGGCTAGATAACTGGGAACCTGGAAAGAAAGCGGGGGAACTACCATATTCTTCCCTCAACCCTAAACCCTAAACACTAAACCCTATACCCTAGGTAGTATACCCTGTGTTAAGCCATCCTAACAATCACAGACTAGGGTTGAAGTTGCTCCCCGAGTAATACTCCCGTATTGCCACGAACTTAGAAAATCCTAAACCCTACACCCCAAATCAACACCCCCTAAGAAAGGAACATGCCCTATGATATACCAAGGCTTAAAACTATGATTTAAGGTTTAGGATTGAAGGTTTAGGGCTTCGTGGTTAGGGTATGGGGATTATGGTGAGCAACGGGCTTTGGAGTTTTACGCTGTAGTGCCTGCGGCCTAGCAGATCACACAAGCTTTCGATTCACAACCAGAATGGAACGGTCACAGCAGTGATACTGGAAATCCTGCATGACCTTAAATGATTTTAGTACCAGAATTCTCCAGCTTCAGAATATAAACTTAGGGTCACGCAGGATGCTTGGTATCCACCAAAAGAACCCTAATCCCAAACCCTCATCCCTACACCCGCATCCCCAAAGCCTAAACCCTGAACTCTAATCCTCCGCAAGAAGGCAACCCTGACAAGCCGGGAATGCAACTTTCACTTTGCGATCAAACTCGGCCTGGCTGGGAGGTGTACCAGGGTTAGGAAAATTTCTCCTCTTATTTAGGGTTTAGGATTTAGGGTTTAGGACTTCGGGATAAGCATTAGGGCTTTAGGGGACTTAGGGCTCACCTAGAGATTTCGATGAAGTTCTTTTTAGGGCGGCCATCGTTTTATGGTAAGGGACTCAATATGAGATTCTACTAACTTTAGCCTTCTAGTGTTCGGGATCAAAGGTATATAGGGTTTAGTGTTTAAGGTTTGGGGTTTAAGGTTTGGGGGGTTAGGATTTACATGGTGGTTCATGGGACTTAGTCAGTAATTATAACTGAGGTTATAGCCCTACGGGTAACTTACATAAGTCCAGTTGAGGGGGTTTATATAAGCCCAATCATACGTAGTTGCTAGGTCCAATGAACCTCTTTAGAGTGGCCATTGCGGGATGAGGTCTCAGCCTCCAAAGCTTCAATGACCAAGCGGCATACAGATTTGTGTAGACAAGGCAGTCGTGCTTCTACAAGGAGACACTTCAACTTTCTTCAAGCTTCTCCCTTGTTCTGGGTTGCTGCTAAGGAACTGAAAGGCTTCTGACATTGGAAACCCTAAACCCTAAACCTGTTATGGTACCCTCATTTATGCTCCCTATAAGCAACTCAGCATTTTGCGGATGATTGGTGGGAAATAGAGGAATGGATCCCCGTAGTAGTCTCCCACAGCTTGGCCTTCCAGCAAAACCTAAACAGCTTAGGGTGTAGGGTCATTCTCCTTCAAGTTGGTATTCGCAGTAAAACCCATACATTCTCCTCGTCCCGTATCCACAGAAAAACCCCAAACATTTGCCTCGAACTTGGTATTCCCAGTGCGGCCCAAACATTCCATTCCTTCTTTCCCTACTAACCACCAGGAAGTTACACACTCCCACTTGCAGAATTCCTACAATACTTGGACTGCAGCTATGCCGGGTTGTTGTTAAGGAACTTACCTCAAGTTACTATGCTATGGATATGTACTACGTAATAGGGGTTCCCTGTTATAGTACTATAATGCTTTACAACTTACTTAGCCGCAGCCCAGTAGAGTCCTTGAAGATTAACGCATTCTGTCTAGGGATCAAGGTGTAAGCTCCTGATACACTATGCAAGTGGTTGTGCAGATTTTGAGATGTGTAGCTCTTGTAAAATTACAACCGCGTGCCTCTAGAAAAGCGTGTGTTGTTCAAGGTTGACAAACACCCACATTATCCAGGACTAGATAGTGTCCTGGCCCTGACTTTGGCGGTCTGGAAAATACAGTTCTCTTGGCGAGATAGACTCTAGAGACTATATAACCCATTATGATCCCAGTGTCCAATTCATTTTCCATTTTCTTGTCCATTTGATTCTCCATTGTTGGGGTATTATGCCCATATATCCCCTATATTACCCCCATATAGTTTCTCCACTGTTCTAGCGTAGCGGCCTGGATTAGGCGAGGGTAGCGCGAGCCTGAGTAGAAAGCAAACATCGATCTGATGACAGGTTTCCGAAAACATCCACGCAGAAATCTAGATTCTGTACTCTGTAGGGCTGACAGCCTATCATACCCCTGTGCATATATGTATATAAATGATAACCATACATATCCCCATATATCCCTTTAAAGGGGCCCAACTACTGGGTACATGGAGCCTCAGGCTCCTAGAAGAATCCTACAAGTCGTGGTGGCCTGAATCACGGAGGTCTCGGCACGAATCTTTGTGGAGACTTGCTGCTGCTCCCTGGCTTGGAGGCTCAGTTTTAGGATGTACAACGACTACATAAAAAGGAAATACACATCGATGAAGGGGAAGGATTATGAAAAAAATGTTGGGTTGCGCGCCGTCCTCGAAGCAATATACCCCAACAATGGTACCTACATTCACTCCCCCAACTCCCCCTTAAGCACCAGAAGGTTAAGGGTTCAAAGTGCAGAGATTGACCTATGAAAGCAGAATGCAAACACCAAGAGGGCAAAGTACCCATATGAGCTACAGGCAACGTTTCCTACGTAATTTAATGGGCTATACATAGGGTTTAGGGTTTAGGGTGTATTTCCTACATAATTTAATGCACATGGACTCCTTATTCGGGACCTTTTTGGGGACTGTACTACAAGTACACTACAAGAGGGGCCCCTTCGTGCACTGCTAAGGGTCCCTTAATCAGGCTAGTATCGACAGTACCCATGTGTGATTTTAATTTGCCATTGACAACGCCCACATAGAACCTTCCAAGTATATCCTATGTGCGTACCTGAAAACTCCACTTGAGCACCTTTTTTTTCGCTGGGTGAACCAAGTAAGATGATACCCATGCTATACAGCGCTATATACCCTTTTGTACGCTATCTTGGGGGCGATAGCCCTAAGGGTCCAAAGGACCCGAATAATAGGGTTTTCATCTGGGCCTTAATTAAAACCCAATATTTGCATCCTTGGACCTTTAAGGAAACAGAAAACTACTGACTTGTGCCTGATGAACATCATCTGCTTCTGAACCTGCACGCGCAGCTGAAGCTAATGGGACTGGTGTGCGTCAAAACACTTTGAGAAAGAATGGTATGTAGGGTTTGCGGGTTTCGGAATGGAACAGAAAGTCTTAAGCACTATATTGTTTGGGGTTATAGTCTCGGGGCTACTAGAAGGATGTCTGCTTTCCCTCCTTACAACCCATGTTAATAGGGAACAGCCTTCAACGGCTACTGCTTGCGTGGTTCTCAACACACAAGCCAGCATAAAGCACTGACAGAATTCCTGTGGCCTTAGTATGGTCTGCCACACATCATACAGCACACATGTCTTCATGAATGCAGCCGCGCCAGAGTGAAAGAGTCCCCCTATAAGAGGCTCTCTGTGGTGTACAGTTGTACGGTACATGAACTTTTGTGTGGACTTTTGCTTGAGACGATGGGGCTACAACAAACCAAGAACTGCGCATGACCAATCGACTGCGTGAGCAAACGAAGCAACGCCCGTCTGGAAGTCCATTTCAAGTGTCAAGTGCTTCAGACTCAAGTTCATCCTGGCATGTCTTTGATGGCTAAAATCTTGCGCCGACCACAGCTTACCCAAATCTTTAAGCCACAAAAGTGCATACTCCTATCTGACAACTACTTGCCGGAAACAGGAAGGTCTGTTGGCCCCAAGTATTCGGCAGATCCATACACAGCCCCTTGGCAACAAAGC